TATCTAGTAACATTTTACATTTCCATGGAATTTATATTTGCAGTCACAACAAATACCTATCTGAAATATAAACTTCGTAAGAATCTTAGCCACAAGTTTTAGGTCCGAAATTCAGCAGTTTAATGATATTCATGAATAATCTCCAACCAGACATTGATGAAAACAAAACAAGTAGTCCAGCTAAGAGGCTGTTTTCGGCGAATTCATTCTCTTCTTCATCTTTTACAGTATGAAATGGTTGGAGGCGATCGGCAGGAAGCCACTCCTTGCTAGCTGACACTCATTAGCAAGGCGTATCTGCAACCTTGAAGGAACTCATGTCCCTTCTGAGATTCGAACCCGCGTCACCAAGCGCTGCAGTCAAAGACGTTACCACTGAGCTATTCGAGCTCGCGATTGACCCCCTGTAGGACCGTAGTGGGTCTTTTGTGGGTGACGCGGGTTCGACTCTCAGAAGGAACATGAGTTCCTTCAAGGTTGCAGATACGCCTTGCTGATGAGTGCCAACTGGCAAGAAACCTAGGTAAGGCATGGCTTCCTGTGGCCGATTGCCTCCAAACATCTAATATCATCAAATCAATGTGCAACATGATGGTGAGCTACCCAGAATGATGGCCACATTACAAACCTGACTGATAGAATTCAGTCTGCACCAAAGAAAGGACTAGACACATAACACTAGTTACTAGTATCCAATCAAAATATCAGTTGTACAGTCGAAATTATATATCATATTTCATTAAAGATAGTAGTAACAAAAATGATGAGTTGTCACAAATATGCTTCTTAATATTAGTCAATACTTAAGAAAATTTGAGGAAATTTATTAGAGTTACATAGAAAGATGAATGATTTATTGAATGAGTAGTAATCAGGATGCACATGTAAAAAATGAAGGAAAATATGGAATTATGTGAGAGTTCTAAAGAAATACAAGAGTTATAAGGGGTTACAAAAACAGACAAGCAGAGACCAAGACAGTAGAAATGATGAACAAGATTGCATGCATAGCTGCGATTTCTACATCTGAATGTCTAGAGCCTGAGCAGTGAACAGAAGACCAAAGCTTATTGCCTTTGGCAGGTTATTCTTCACTTTGTAGATTACTTTGAAGGAGACGTTTTTTGTTGAGATGGAATGAGAAGTGTTGACAAGGAGTGCACTTATCTAAGTCCTTATGGAGGCATCACTGACATTCTGCAACCACACATGATAGTGTTCTTGTTCTAATCAGCTAGAAAAACTGTAGCTATGCATAAAGAAGAAAATTATTTACCCCCTTCTACTACCATGGTAACGAACTTTTTGATTTCTACCAACCTCATTTTTATTTGTTTGTTTTCCTAACTTCTTATAACTTTTGTATTTCTATTAAACTCTTACACAATTCTATGTTTTCCTTCCTTTCCATATGCATCATGATTAAAACTCATTCTGATCACGACTTCTCACTAAACCTCATGACCCTACCTACCTGAATAGGGCCAGTCACTAGTAAGCATTAAATTGATAGTGAGAAGTCGTGGCCAGTGGGGTACAGCCGGTCGGGTGTGGGGACAAATACTCACCACGGATGACACTGGTCAGTGTCAGCTGGGCTATACCGTGAACTGGCATGATTTGGAATTCATGGACAGGTTATTGGGTCAGTTTCCAGTGGCTTGATGGTTTACTAGCTTGCTAGCCTTGTAACCAGAAGCGTCTGGATTCGAACCCCATTTGGCTCGTGCTGATGAAGAGCCCAAAAACTGTGACGAAACAGCTGTCTAATACTGCCAGTTATGATCATGGAACTTGTCACTTTTGTTCCTACTCTTTTTCATGAAAAATTGCAAGTAAATATGGTGGTGTGGCTTAATAAATAAATTTTCTGGAAAAAGCGTTTCCGCTGAAATACATGTTTTGTTTTCTTTGGTTTAGTTATAGTATAAACTGAATATGATAGAATGATATTATTAGTAAAGGTGTGTCTCACTGGATCACCTCTCATGAAAATACAACATTTTCAGTCATCGAAGAAGACATTTTCTAGATTTTTCTCAAAACAAAATCTTCCGAATTACTGCAAGCAAAACTGAAACTTTGCCAAATTTCATACACAATCAAAGGAAATTATGAAGTGATCTTGGTAATGATTGAAATTCCTTCATTTCTAAAGAAATTGACAAAGAAATGATAATAAGAAATAGGAGCATTTACTTTTTGAGTGCTTATTAATTGCACATTCGAAGCTTGTGTAATGAAGAATTGATGCATTTCACAATGCCTTCCACACAAAAGATCAAAGATAGTTAGTGATCAAAACTAAAACTTCAGGAGAACTATGCCTAGCATTCTTGAGAAAAATACACATAAGTAAATTCAATTTAATTTATATGGTAAGGAGAGAGTGACCTCATTCATTCGAAATACAATAGCGCTTCATACTGGGCATTTTCAGTGCTATAGTTATCAATCGGTGAATAAATCTTTGCCGACTGAACGGTTTGATTAAAATTCGTGTATTATTTCAGAAAATATATACTTAGGATATTTGACTGTGCTAAAAGCACAAAATACTCATGGGTGAAGAAATAGAATTCGAACATGAATACAGCTGTGCATCGGTGGCACGGAGGTGGAATGCTCGCCAACCACGCTGCAAGTGGTTCGCGGTTCGATCCCCCGCCATAGACGCACTTCCTTACCTTGCCAAACCAGTATTAAGACTGGTAAAGACGGAAGGTTAGGCATGGGGCTAGCAAACCCATCCCGTAAAAGTAAACACCACTGCTACCGAAACTTCAAGCCTCTAGCTTGAAGCCCCCTGTGTTCCACTGCAAACGTGAAGGAATAAAAAAATAAGTAATTAAATACACCTGACTTGGTAGTCACTGTATTTTTGTTTTTTAAGCATGAAATGAACCCATAAAAATAAACTCTTTGACCGCATATTTATTATCTCTCCATGGGCTTCTGCTTAGAGGATGCAACAAGCATCTGTGTTAAATGTCGCTTTGACATGGCATAGTGGAACTGATGAAACGAATTTTTTGTTCATATCATAGGTGCTGCATGTTGACTGGTTTTAATACGAATTTTTATCTAACATCTTAGAGTTCGCGAAGAAAATGGAGGTTCTACTTAATTTTCTCCTTTTTTAAATTTCGCTTTCCATCCCTTTGCGTTTATGGGGGAACATGCGACTTTGAGTTTAAGGTCTGCAGTTTAAGAAGTAGTGGTGCTTCCACAGAGTGAAGTTGGTAGCCAACCTTCCTTTTTTCTCAGGATTACTACCGCCGAAAAGAGGTTTCCAACGCAATGGAGTCGAGCGGCTAAAGTCTTATGTCCCTCTAAGAAATTAAAGGAAATAATAATAACAAAAGAGGTTTAACAGCGCGTTGGTCAGGAAGCGAACCCTGACTAAGTGCGTGATCGACGAGCATTTTACTATAGAACCACCGACTCACTGGTACAACCGCTGGAGATAAATTATTCTTAGTTAACTTTTAAATTATCTGATTTCGTTTATAACAATATTTTCACTAACAACAATACTGAATTTTGTTTGGACACGAGTAACTAGTGTGATGTGTCTAGTCCTTTCTTCAGTGAAGATACGTCTTGCTGACTGGTGAGTGCCAACTAGTACGAAACCTAGGTCCAAGGCTTCCTGTGGCCGATTGCCACCAACCATCTAAAATAATACTGAATATCTGTCACTACAGTGCATTTTTAACATACTAAACGGCTTAGAGGATAAAACTTCCTGCTTAGTGGCGTACTTTTTGTGAAAATCTGCTTTGTGTGCTACTTGCTACTTCTTTTGGACAGGTCATCAAATATTTGTATGAATAACACCTAGCAGGGAACTTCAGAAGGTGAGGAGGGTACTTAACGGTTTCTCTCTAATTTGATGACTTCATGTTTTGATATGAATAAATAAAAAATATAGAATTATATATGAAACGATAATTACGGCATCCTTCGAAGTGAAGACGGGAGTTGGAAAACACTGCCTAATATCACCAATCATTTTCCTGATTGCAGGAGACTACATAATGTGACAGACAGCGAGAAGCGAGGAAACAGGCATAAAATGGACCCACACAAAAAACGTGGAGGATCTGGACTTCGCCGATGATATATATCTGATTTCCCACAAACTGGAAGATATGCAAGTGAAAGCAACAAGTTGGCTATAGAAGAAGCATCCAGAGAAGATAGGACTTCACTTCAGGTTAACACAGAGAAAACAGAGGTGATGAAGATTCCTGGCCAACAGCAACTGCCACAACAACAGACAAAAATTGGCCAGCATAAATGGGAGGGACCTAAAAGAAACAACCTCCTTCACCTACCTGGGAAGCATCGTTTCAACTAAAGGCGAAACTGACGAGGATATCAAAGTGAGGATCGGGAAAGTAAGACAAGCTTCCATTACACTCAAGTATATGTAGAGATAGATCAACAGCACTCAGAAATAAGATCCGGATTTTCAACTCCAATGTGAAGTCAGTGCTACTTACTACACGGATCAGAGACTTGGCGCATCATAAAGAGCACCTCAAACAAACTGCAGACCTTCGTCAACAACTGCCTTCGCTCAATACTTTGCTCAAGATCAGAGGGGCAGAAAAGATCAGCAATAGGGATCTCTGGCAATGAGCGAACCGACTCAGTAGGAACCGATTGTGCAACATATAAGCAGAAGGAAATGGAGATGGAATCGCCACACTCTGAGGAAACCATAAAGTATCATCACTAGAGAAGCCATCGCTCGCGTGGAGCGGCGAGTTGGTCGTCAGTGCGAGGGTGACATGGAGGATGTCATGTGAAGAGGAGATGAAAGCATGTAGGCAGACTTGGAGTCAGGTGAAAACTTTAGTAGAGAACCGAACGCAATGGAGACGTGTGGCTGAAGCCCTATGTTCCTCTAGGAATTAAAGGAAACAATAATAATATAATAATTATTAATTTTTTTGATTATATTAACAAGATGCTTTGGTTATTGAACTTACCTAAAAATAAATAACGAAAAATCTCCGAAAGAGTTGTAGTCATCCCCTTAGTCTACAAAGAAAATGTGAAAGCAAGATTAAGTAAGTGATAAATCCTGTGAATATTCATCAAAAGTTATTTCTAATATAATATATACATTTGTATATTCCACAGACTGGTTCAGCCTTAAACCACTTTAAATAGTGATTTATATTTATGCAAGCATACATGACATATATTTTGTGCAGAATTTGTGCCCCCAAGTAGATGTCTTAGTCGGTTTCTTATCGATAAATTTAAGACTAAAGTTACCTAGTTGTTATTTCTAGATCAATCTGATGAATATAATTGTATTACAACTTCGTGGAGGTTAGTCTGCTTGAGGTAGCATATTAGATTGTTGGAGCTTTCGGCGGTTGACCTTCCGTAGCGCTCACCATGATGGCTTTAAACCTAGCATGGTGGCCATATTGTAAACCTGACTGACAGAATTTCATTCTGCAGCAAACATTAGACAAGACACATGACACCAGTTAGTGTTCAATTAAAGTATCAGGTAGCGTATAATATTATTATTTCTTTGTCTTCCTAGTGGGAATCGGAGCTTCAACGCCAAGTCTCCATTTTGTGCTTTTCTATTGAGTCCTCTTTAGTTGGCTTGACAATTTCCCATAGGCTCCCATCTCCTCCTCAGATGATTACCTACGTGTCACCCTCGGACCCACTCCAAACTTGTTGTTCTCCATCCGGGTTCCATTCGAAGTTCTGCTTGGCGCGTGGTGTCACCCAAAGGTCGCCTCAGAGTGTGTCCGATCAATCTCTGTTTTCTTCGGTATATCGTGTTGATCGGGTCCCAGTGGCTGAACGATATACGAGCTTGCCTTGTTACTGGAAGGTCCTGGGTTCGAACACTGACGATGGGTGCTTACTGCCAATGATTGCCAAAGCAGGATCAAAAGTAAGTCGGTGGCACAGTGGTTAGGATGCTCGACAACCATGCACATAGTCCAGGGTTCAATCCCCAGCCAACTCATCCCTTCACCTCGCTAAGCCAGTAATAAAGCTGGTAAAGAGGGAAGGTTGGGCATGAGGCTAGCAACCATACCCCGTAAAAGTAAACACCACTGCTACCTAAACTTCAAGCCTCTAGCTTGAAGTCCCCTGTGTTCCACTGGGAAAGTGGAGGAATAAAAACACCTTTAGAACAACAGGTAGCACATAGTGATACAATATTACCTGCCATACAACTACAGTGCGAAAATTTCCGTGTAATATGAAAATAATGGATAGATTTGAAATGGGAAGAATTCCAATCGAAACCGATCGACGCCTTGCTTTAAACTGAAGTAAGCGATTTTTTCAACCGAATTTCTTTTCGCAGTTATAATCCACTGGATATTTATATGAAAGAAGGAAATATTGAAATCAATCTGGTGTCTTCAATAACTGATAATGGTCACTGCTTTCTGAGCAAGGGAAGCTGCATATTACAGTTAATCCTGTCTGCCAGTCCAAAACTTTGTCAGCAAATAAATCCCTAAGCATGTTGCAGTATTCTCTTAACTGGTATCTGAATGCAATTTTCATGTTTCAAATATCAATTCCTTGGAGGTCATTATAGTGCAAACTCAAAAGGAATTCGGTACATTCACGTTCCACTAAAGCGGTTTTCTGATCTTGGGTACATTGAAGATATACCTAAAGTAGTATCTTAATTTATAGAGAAATCTACTTTTTTTGCCACCGACTGTTCAAATCTGAATGAAAGGTATTGTTTTCAGTTAAGATTATGGGATTTTTGGGGATTCAGAATGATTTCATTTCATTTGTTAGATTCATTTGCAAACCGCCATCAGTCAGAGAAATCACTGAAAACCAGAGGGCAGTGTTCGGCAGCTATTTTGTCCAGTTTTAGGGCTCTTCATCAGTGCGAACTGACGACGCCACCATAGATCGAACCCGCGACTCTCAAGGCAGTGGTGTATAATGAGTTGACGAAGTTTTTTATCGAAGAGTCACTGAATTCCGGCCTAAGTATGTGGACGGTAAACGAGATTCGTCTCGATACCTAGAGGTCCCAGATTCTATCCTTAGTGGTGTTGGGGGGGGGGGAGCACACTGATGGAGAGTTCAAAAATCTGACGAAACAACTGTACAGTACTCCTCAGTTCTCAATGATCTCTCCATCACTGATTTCGGTCCATGAGTAAATCTAACAAGTGAGTTTAATGTTTGTAAATTTATTTAACAAGGGAAACTATTAAGAGGGTCTTACGCTTTTCTAAACTCCAGGGTTGATAGAAATTGAAATATACTGAGTTTGTTAAAACATGCTACTAAGCGCCCCATACAGACATATATGTGAAATGCTAGCGATACAAATCAAAGAAGATGCCGGATACAAACAAGTACTATACAACAAAAGTATTTACCCAAAGTCAGTGGTAAGAAGTACCTGAAGACCTAGCAGAATATTCACAACAGGGTGGGATCAAAGCCTGTCAGCGGAAAGAACACTTCAAAAACTTCCTGCAGACAGTCCAAAGTCAGAATTTCCCTGACTAACTCAAATAAAATCTCAATCGTAATACGATGCATTGTCGATATCATCACACAAACTAACAGAGAAGTGTTTAAATTAGAAATTACATCAGAAAATAAGACGAATAATAAAGAAAAAATCAAAATACGATGTGCAGACGTTAAGGCGGTGACACAGAGTCTATAAGCAAAAGAGAAAATAATTACGAAGTCAGTTGAAATGTCTGAATAATTATCAGTATTCTAAATAGATCGTTCGGGATGGATTTTCCAAGCAATTGTTACGTTACAAATCTATGATACTAATGCAAAATATTCTTGCTATTAATTCACTCAAATCTGCAGCGTAATAATTAGTCTCATGTATGAGTTTTATTCACGAAAAAGTTTTCTCAGGATAAGAAAGATAACACATTTTTAGATTGTAAGATTATAAGTTTCCAGACCGTAGGTGTTGCGAACTTCCTGGAATAATCTGACCGCCGAGTCAGATTGATTCATTATAAATCTGAATAAATCTGCTGAAGAAGCTGTGGATTACATAGCAAAGCGTCCAAAAAAATCTTACCTTGACTATATTAAACACTCTGGGATTAATTCAAATAATTTATAATATCTGTAGATTGGTTGGGTAGTGAGTATTTACCAGAAAGATTATTCCATTATGGATAAGATTTTATTCTGATAAGTCACACAGTGTAACATAGTAATATTAACTGATGACCACGTTTCAAGCACGAGAAACTGCCACTCATAATCATATCAAGTTACTCACTAACACAACTTTTTCCTTCATTTATATATACAAGTTCGGAATGGACGAGATATCTGAATAAAATAATAATAATATGAGTGTTATTGATCAAATACAATCAGATGGGAAATAAGATGAGTGTTTATATAGTCAAAATAAGTGACTTGTTAAAATGTTATGATGTACGTGAATTGAAATCGAATTTTATGATTATTTATTATCCTCTTCTGATTTGACTGACTGGTGGTAATAATATCTTCCATATTTCTGGTATTCGCATTGAGTCATTTCTATTGCATGTGTTGTCTTGGGTGTAGACTCGATGAACCACACAGGACTCAGTAATCAATCTCTGACGCTCTCCACCTACATAGATTACTTCTTAGAATCTTAACCCTCTCCCATCCTATTGTGTGGTTGTGCGTTAATGCATGCATGCAGTGCGATTGCTGAGCTTTTTTCTAAATTACTCATCTCGGGGTCAACCATTCTTACCTTAGCTAAATTCTCATGTTCTGATAACCTCACTACTCCTGATCTACTAGTATGACCTATGTGAGACCAACGCTTCTTCTGTCTGTTTTATTTCATCATTCAGGTCTTTTTTTGTACTACTTGGTGCTACTGCTCGGTTTGTTAGATACTTAACTAAGCCTGTCTTCACAGACAGATGACGGATGAAGTGAATTAAAGTCTAAATATCTTTTAGAATGCGTTAGTTTTTTATAAACACTAGTGTGTAGTTTACATTCTTCTATTCGTTTTATTTTACAATTCAATATAGTTAATTCTCCTTGTTTATTTTCCGATTCAAATGTGAATTTTATTCCCTCTACTGGTGAGTTTACATGTGTGAAGAAGCTAGAGATATGTTCTGTTTTCAACACTGTGTGAAAGTGTCATTCACATATCTCCATCATATTTTTGGAGTAGGATTAAATGTATTGAGTGCACTATTTTCCCAGCTGTCCATAAATATGTCTGCTACGACAGGGGATATTGGTGATCCCATTGCTACACCTTCAGTTTGTCCATATATTTTGCCTTGGAATTTAAAGATAGCAGATGTGAGGCATAATTGAATTCCTAAAATAATTTCTTCAATGGGCACCTTTTCCTCTGAGTGAGTTCAGGATCTGCAGTCAGTTCTTCTAAGATCATATTGATTGGTATATTAGTGTAAACACTAGTTATATCGAAACTAACCAACGTTTCGCCACTTTCTAGTTGAATGTCATTTAGTTTATTTTCCATCTCATATGAATTGGTTAATATAGAGTTTGAATGATTTCTAATGGAGCATAGGGGTATTTCTGAAATCTACTATGGGTCATATGAGGGAACCTGGCTTATGTAAGTTAATTGTAATTGATCAATCACACTCATATTATTATTATTTCTGAAAGTACATTATCTCATACCGACTTTTATTCAAATATCTAGTCAATTCCACCCGTGTATATAAATGAAGGAAAACGTCGTGTGAGTAGTGACTTGATATGATTATGATTGGCACTAGTTTTTGCTCAAAACGTGGTCATCAGTTAATAATACTGTGTAACACTGTGTGACACTTTATCAAAATAAAATCTTATCCATAATGAAGTTATACTCTAACACCACAGTGCCCAAGTTTTATACTTATATCAGAAAGATAGTTGTTATTTTCATTTCATTGTGAGATAATATCTGTTGACCGTATTGAAGTTGACCAGATATTTGAAGAAGGAATGATAGATAATCTTTAGAAAATAAACTGAGGATAGATAGATGACAT